TCAGTGACTCTAGAGGAAGAAAAAAGAATGTATGCCTTTGAATTCTGTGGGACTGTCCACACATGAGTATGAATCACAAGACCAATGGCCTGATTTGAATCAAATGTTACATCACTAGATAATTACATGGCAAAAAAACCAAATTCCAATATATTTTGAAGTCATTAAGAAGGGATGTCTTTAAATTAAGTATAAGATTAACCATTTACTTTTACTTTCTGGAGGCATTTAGAGTCCAGTACATTTTGGCCTGTTCTAGCTTTTGCAATGCTTTAAGTACCAATCATCTTTTTTTACACATTGAATATCAAAAATTATGTATACATTATACTTTATATATTTATGCTACAATGCTGCTAGGCTTCTTTTTATTCCCAACACAGTTCCTTTTTGTATTATCACAAAATCCAAGGCCTGAATTCCTACCAAGCAATTACACAATCCTGCTGTTATTTTAAATCCTAAAATGCAAATGAAAGTATTATGCATGCCTAGATAATGTTAGATACAGCTACCAAAATGGAAGGGGGAAATAAGAAAGATCTAGGGATGGATTGCCAGCTAAATATGAAGGCATCCCAAAAACCTTTTACATTCAGTGTTAATCCAAAACTTTCATTCCCAGTCTCTTTTCTAATGGAACACATTTAAATAGCATTAAACTCCTTTCTTGCACATTTTTAACACATACTAATGTAATGGGGCATCTATTGTGGCACTTATGCCAGTAAATGTAATTAAAGGGAATGGAAAGCAATTTTAAATTCAGAGTAATGAAATACATATGAACTATACGTATAATACGTATAATACTAGAACAGAAAGACAGGAATGCCATTTATTTGCTTTCCCCTGCTGTCTGGATCACTCCTATTTTACAAATACTATGAGGTGTTATTTGTAGTGATACCACACTGTGCACAGTGGTACTCAAAATGCTCAGTGAACATTAGCTTAAGTCACATTGGTGAGGCAGAGGCTAAAGAAGGAGGCAGTGAAAGGCAACTTCCTGCAGCTCCAACAAAGGTGAAGAGAGGTGAAAGCGTACTGCCTTCTGATGGAAAAAGAGGATCAGAGATGATTTTTTGCTTTTAGTGAAAGGGGGAAAACCCAGTGGTTTTAAACCTCTTTTTCCTCTGTTTTCACTCTTTCTTTGTATCACAGATGGAAAAAGTGGAGCAGAAAATTGCTTTGCCCAAAGCCACACACTGGCAGTAATTGAACTAGAAGACAGCATTGGTTTAAATAGAAAATGTGCAATACATTCATAGTATTTGGGCTATTCTAACTGCTGTTTCTTTCTCTTGTCCACATACACTGTTTACTTTTCAGCTGTAATTGCATGGCACTTCTGGTAACAAAATCTTTTGGGAATCTCAGGGAGATTCCAAAATTGTGAGTTGCTTTCAAGAAGCTTCAAGAAACAAAGAAGTAATAAATAGGAAATATGAAATTCATCAAACTCTTGAGAGAGTGTCTCAAATTTTGGGTGCTGTTTTCCCAAGAAAATCATTAAGGAGGAAGCTCTGTTTTCTGTTCTTGTCCAGCAATTGTGACTCTGATGTTTACAATAAAGCAGCTAGTGGATCTCCCAGACAATCCAGTCCTGTCCCACTCATGCTGTGCACTACATTAACCAGTGATGGTCATTGTATTGTTCAATGTATGTTCTTAAGAATCAAGACACTGAAAACAAAAATAGATAGCCATTTATTAGACAATAATTGAGATGCAAAGAATTTAAGAAACAAAGCCAGTCACAATAGAGTTTGGTAGCAGACCTCAGGTAATGAATGCCTGTACATTTGTGGAGAGCACTTTAGCCCTCTGTGGCATACTGCTACTCCAGCTTCCAAAGAGAAACAATGTGTTTGAAGGAGTCCATATAGAAGACAGTATAGAAACCAAAACCAAAAAATGACAGAAGCTTAAAAGATTCACCCCTCCTTCTCCAAAGAAGCTATTTTTATACCAGAGGTAAGATTGAGGTTCAGCAGATCATACTTTTAAATCCAAGTAGATATGGAACTTCGTTCTCAAAGAGGAGCTAAGGAGCAGTTGTTGCATTGAGTCACAATGAAGATTTTTTGTGGAGCTTTTGTGGTAAATGAGATCAGACATCACAGATGCATTAAAAGATCTGGTGAAAAGCACCGCAAAGGCTGGCTGATATCCAGCAGCCCATCAAGTGGCTGCCATTTTAACATGGGGAAGCAACTGTCTGCAGAAACTGTTATATGAAAAATCTTGTTATGGCCAAGAAGAAATCCACCCAATGTTTAGTCACATCAAATTTATTTTAATTGCAACCTTAGTGATTTAATCAAAGAAATATTATCAGTCCAAATCTAATTATTGCAGAAAAACAGAGAAAATAAAAATAAAGAAACTGTATAGAAGGTCTCAATAGTAATAGTACAGTAAAAATTGTTAAGTATGCACTATTCAGTACTTACCCTTACCCCTCTTCCTGGTGTCATGCTTGCCCTTTCACCTCCTCTACCTGGTAGAGGGAGCATGGTGGACCATCAGCATCTGGAGTACTGTGCCTGCAGGAGTATGATGCTTATGATTTCTTCTTTCTCTTTTTTTTTTTTTTTTTTTTTTTGTAAATATCTCTCACTTGGGGTTCTTTTTATACATTTTCTAATAAAGTTTTACTCCTTGCTTTTTCTTCACTGGACTGCAGTTACTTTATTTTTTTTTTGTTCATCTTCAGTGTTTTGGTTTTTGCTTATCTCATATACTCATTATTTCTTCTCTTTTTTTATCCCTAAGATAGATACCTACATAGGTAATAAGATACCTATAATAGGCATAATGATGATAATAACAACAATAATCTTCCAGTTTTGCCCAGCTCTAGGTTTGTATTTCTTCATCTGACCACTGGCAAGTTGCTTATAGTCCTGGAGTCTCCAGTGCTAGCCAGTGCCCCATCTCTTACTATTCCGTGCCTCTACTTTACACTGCAGTTGGTGTCCTTGCTTCTCAAAGTTCCTGCTGTTTTAATAGGCCTATATTTCTTTACACTGTAACACTATGTTAGTCATAAATATATAATTCTACACAGAATAAATACTAATTATTAATATCTATATAACAACTGTGGTTATACATAAAAGGAAAACAAATTATCCGTAGTCTTCTGTTCTTAGAAAAAAAATTGTTGCAGCCAAATCAAATAAAACCAAAGCTCTGAGAAGTCTGGGGAAAGTTCCTGTGAGAAACCTCCATCCTGAGCTCTTTGAACACTTGGGACAAAGCCTGTGGACTGTCACTAGAGTAGCAATACAGTTGCAAGTATTACTGGGTTACATGCTGTTAACTTCCAGTTCTGGATTAAAATTTATATGTTGTACATTCATATGTTGCATACTCTATGTAGCAGCAGAGGTAAAAAAATTCCAGAAAGGGCATGGGAAGGAGACTAGAAAACAGATTATTGCCCCTGAACTCATTAGTGACTGTTTATGATCCCAGTTCATAGTCCACACATGCTCAGCTTCAACACACAGGGTGTGTGTGCTGCAAACAAGGTCACAAAAACCCGATATTGCAAATTCCTGTATGGCAGTTGAATTGGAAAAATAATAACATAAGGACAACTCCTCACTTTATAGGTTATTTCAAGGAAGTGGGAAATATTAAGCATCTTCTAATAGATATTCTCTAAGTATAGAACAGGATAATTATCTGAGTTTTTGTCTAGTCATATTACAGAAACTATTTAAAGCAGAGTCAAGTCATTTGTTTAAAGTGTATATTCATGCTTGAAGGGAATAAGCATTTGGCTTTGAAAAACTCATTTTAATCAATTTTTTTATCAGTATGGTCCAGCATGTTATTCAGAAATGGCTTTCTTCAGTAAATGGATTGTGAATCAATAGTAGTTATAAATAAAGCAGTACAAAGGGCACCAACATTCAACAAGCTGCCAATCCCTGGAGCAGAGGATGGCAGAAATCACTATTCCAAGATGGATACACAAATAAATCAGAAATGGGCAGATAATAAACAAATATCCACCTTTTTACAAAAATTTCAGAGTTCCAACTGGTCTTAAGAACAACTGAAATGTACATTAGTTTTTATGTACTTTATATGACAGACCACAATGAGATGGAGTTCGGTTTGAAGTGTGTTTTTCACTAAACATTTTCAAGCCTATCCTTCTTAGAAAAATAGAGTACTTTTAAAGATAGAGAATTAATTGCCAGGCTGCCAAAGATCTTTCTGGAGACATGAAATAAATTAAAAGCTGCAGACTTTGTATTATACCTCAAAGGATCAATTCCTATAAGATCAGTGAAAAGTGGTATTACTCAGCATTTTTCAGGATTTGACCTCCAACAGAAAGAGGAACTACAATGTTTCTTCAAGCACACAGATGATAATGAATTTGTATTAGTCATTTGCATCAGGACAATATTATTTAAGTGCTGCTAGTAGGAACTTTGAACATGACTCATATTGTGACTGTCATAACTGTTAATTATTAATGAATAAATATGTCATTTGGGTCCTAAAAGCTAATATGTCCAGGCCATTTGTGTAAATGGTTGTTTTCAACTGTGAGAATGTCAGCTGCCAGGAATTCAATATTCTTTTTTATTTGATAATTATTAACCATATATTATGCTAACCTTAAAAAACATCTCATTACTCTCTTACCAAAACTATAAAGTTCTTCTGTTAAAAAAAAGTGATTGTTATGGCACAGTTTGAGCCTACAGATTACACATTCAATGTTTGGTACAAAATAAAGATAAGGACAGAGTATTTGTAACTACTCGCCTACAATTTAGGATTGTGCAAGGTGCCATCCTCACTAACCATAAGTTTTTACATATCTTCTAGAATAACTTTGTATTCAAATGGCAGTTCTGGATAATTGCCGCAAACCATATAAATGTCTGATTTCACTTTGAACCCTTCTAAACCATAATGCTGCATTAAAAACTTGAAGAAACTTGATTCACAGGATGAACACATTTGAATCAGTTTTGAATTTGCCACATTTTAATATAGCTGTTCTGTTCTTCCTTTCAAGACAATTTCCCATATTATCTTCTTAACACCATCTGTTAATAATGTTTATAACAGAACTGCATAGGGGGCCAGCTGGGAAAGGGGCCCCAAATGTACCAATACATTTTTCTATAAAAGGAAAGCTAGTCTCTGCCTAGCAGATTCAATGGATAAAAAGCTGGAAGGAAGCAATAGGGGAAGAGGGAACAATGAGATGGCAGCGTACACTGTACCATCTTTATTTTGTTTTCATATGAATGTTTATGTTCTTTTCCTGAGGCTCTGTTATGAAAGAATTGAGTAGACAGCAAGACCACAGTAACAAGGACATAGACCAAGCTATAGCAGGCAGCCTATCAAAACACATCAGAGATTTCAAAATGCAAACTTCAAGCAAGCAATTCAGTGATACTGGTTTCTAGATGTGCCTCACTTATTCTTCCCTGCATAGCCCATGATCAGTCCTGTACTACCTTAAATCTTCCACCCTTACACACTCAGGTTGAGGGGGATGGATTTTCTTATTTAATACTTACTCTTTAAGAGGCTAAAATTCAGTGAATTTGTTTTAACTACATTAGTTAGTTAGAAAGCACTTTCATTTTATAGATAGAAAACATAAAGGTAAAAATTGATGTAAGTACATCTAAAGTATTCTTTTTTCACCTATAAACCACTTCTTCAAGCTATACATGTAATATTTCTTTCATTATTATTTAGTAAAAAATGATTGCATTATCCCATCTTTGTTGATAAATGTTTTGAATTATTGGATCAATATTAACAAATATTTTAAGCACACTTCAGATGCATATGAATAACAAACATGTACCCATTACAGCAAGGCAGTCTCAAGGGGGAATTCACTGGGATTGGGAAAACCAGTGCAGATGAGTGAAAGTCATTTTAAAACTATCTTCCAAGGCAATCAAGCACTTTAATGCTTAGGAGAAAAAACCCAAAAACAGTACTGTATTTGGGATATAATTTATTTTTTCAAAATTCGATCAGATGAGTGTAAGGTCCATTTGTATCCAGTTTTAACACCTGCCTGTTTCCATATGTGCCATGCTTGACAAGAACACCAGCTTCCATGCATTTGGCACTGGCAGCCAGTTCTTTTTCACACAAAGTCACAAACTGAGAATAAAGTTCCAACCCTTTTTCTTTTTCAATGTTTGCATGGTACTGCATCCTTCTTCCCTTTGGTTTACCACCTAGGGTAGCTTGTGGTATGATGAGTACGTCGCCTGGTAAATCAAGAACAGAGACAAACTCGCCGTTTTCGTTTTCACTTAATTTAACATTCAACAGTGTATCGACTGCAAATAAAAACAAAATAAGAGTTAGTATAACTGAAGTGAATTAAACAGGACATCATGAACAAGATCCAACAAATGTTTTGATGTGTGACAAACCACTGTGTAAAAGAAACTGTTTATTAATGAACTGGAATGTGGACAATCAATAAATACTTAACCAACTAATGTGTCTGAGTATTGTGAGGAATGTGAAGGATATTAACAGCATATGTCTGAAGTTCTATTTTGGGGGGAAGCGATTTGCTATCTAAAATCCTAAAGTTGATTCTAGTTGGACACCCCCAAAAGAACATAGGATGCAATTAGTGAGCCTTCCTTAATTGCTTGATATTCAAAAAAGGCAGCATTTGCACAACACTCCACAGGAGTCCATAGGACACAGCATCCTCAGTGCACTTTGGAGAGTGCTCTGCCCTGACTCTCTTTGCATTCTGGTTGCAGGTGTTTGCAGGAGGACCCAGCACTGAACCGAGTTGAAGGCACAGCTACACAGTTTGGTCTCAAGTAGAGCAAGTGTCCTTCAGCTCTCCACATTGAGATATGCAGCAACCAGTTTGTCACTTGACACAGGAGGTGGGCAGGAAGGTTACATGCAATTTAGTTTATAAGCCAGAACATATAAACTTGCAAATAAAATCAATGCATTTACTAACTTTAGATTTTCTCATGTTTCTATAACAAATCAAATCATTACCCCAACTCTGTAAAAGGTGGGAGGATACTAGTCATACCTCCAAACTCTAAATACAAATGTTTAGAATCAGGGGAATGTTGTTAGAAGCAAAAACAGCTAAGTTGTCATTTAAGAACCAGACCCACACACTTAAACAGATTCAAAATATATTTAGGAAACAATATTCTCTAAAACAGGCACTCAAGGTGGATGGTCCTAGAGGAATCTCCTGACAGGAAACAGAACTTTCTTTTTCTGGCCTGTTTTAGCTGCCCCACAGCTGAAAATGTAATTATTCTCAAGCAATACTCTCATCAAAATCTTACTAGCACAAAATAAATTTTTATATCATAGATTTAAATATTTAGCATTACAGAAGGACTGTGCCCCCCAAGACCAAGAGAGAACCCTCAGGAGTTGCTCTTAGCATTTTTAATAGCACCTGTACTTGTGCACTACTGGTCCCAGCCAGTAGCCTGAAACAGACTGAAATAGTGCAATATTGTTACACAACCTTTAGCCAAATCACTAGTACCAGCCAGCCACAGGGAAGAAAAGGGACACTTTCATCTGGAATATATGCCATCACAGAATTTCCCAGGGGAACAAGTGCTACAGATGGAGGAAAGGAGGGAGAAGCAATGACATAAAAGTAAAAAAAAAAACAACAAACAAAAAAACAGAACCAAAAAAAAAAAATCAAGCCAAAACAGCACTGGGTAAAGACAAAAATTGCTATTATTTGACCTTATCCACAGCATCTTCTCTGCTTCAACGTAAATGTTAAATTGCATGTGGAGAAGAAGGTAAGAACCGCAGACGCTGCTGTTATTGCTTCTGAACCAGAAAACTACACAGGCTAACACTATGTAAGCACTGCTGAAGTGAGATGGGAAAGATACTGTTTCATTATCCATACAACTCCCTCTACCGGCTGTTAAATATCCTGCACATACAGTCAGATCAGTGTTAAAATACTATCAAATCAAGCCATGAACTATTTGAAATTCAGCTCTGTCCTGGACTGAACCTATTGCCACAAACAGAAGGTGCAACATTTTCTTTGTTTTCTATAAAGTGATCGGGGGAATTTCTTTTCTAGGTTGGTAATGAACAGATAGACAAAGAGGCATGGACAATGTCAAAAGAAACAGACAAACTGTTCTTTCAGCCAGGTAATTGATGTAGAATAATGCCATCTCATGGCTTATCCAAATGGTTGCTACCTTCTCTGCCTCAACTGCTTTTCTTCTTTTTTCAAACAATACAATAATGTATATGGATTATATCATACCAATTTTTGGGACAAGATCCTCATCAGCACCTTTGAAGAAGCATATGTAGATAACAAGCCCTCTCTGGATCTATAAAAGATTACAGAAAACGATGTCAATATTTCTCATTATCTATGATGCATGCTTATCATTCAATCTGGTATAAAAAGTGACAAAACCACATAACAGAGAAAGGTTGAAAGAGTAGTTTTAGTTGTTGAGAATAACTTCAGACATTAAGTTTACACACCACACTGTGGAAGATAAGATATATACTGATTATCTGCACAGTGCTTCTACATACAATTAAGACAATTTATTAGCTCCATGTGAAGCCAAATTTAGCTGGAATGTAAACTATACAGTATTAACATAGATGAGTTGAGAAGATGAATTAGTATACTTAAATGCAGTATAAGAAATAATTTAAACTTTTTCCTATCAAACGTACAGTTAAAATAATTTTCAGTGTGAATTATAATATTATTTCCAATTATGAAACATGAAAAACACCACAAAACTGTCAAAGAACTGCATTTTATTTTGATGTTGAAAGTAATCTAGTACAATATAATTCTGAAAAAAACACAGTCTGGTAATTAAATATCTAAATATGACGACCAACAAATGTGAACTTGTTCAGAATACGATAAAGTTGTTCAAAATACTACTTATCAGCTTAGATAAAATCTAACTGGCAAAATGGAACCTTTCAGCTGATTGGTATAAAGGACATGCCACATCTTCAGCATTCAGAGAGGCTACTTGTAAGAATTATATATTTGAGGAAAGAATTGTGCCTCTACTGAGGAGAAAGCATAAGAAAACTCTTGTGTAGTTTTTCTGCGCACTTGGTTAGTCCATAAAGAATGCACATGCAACAACCCATGCTTTATTAAGCCAAACTGTTAGGCTCTGCAGCCAGCAGCAACTGTCTCACGCAAAACTATACCTGCATGGCTTAACTTCTCTGGGAAAAAACCCAAAGTACCCACAGACAGTGGATATAAAGTAACCTCCCCACTTCTTTGTCCAGAATAAGTATACTTTTAATATTGTTGGACAAAACATAAATGTCAACTTGTGAAATACCACTGAAGAGATGTTAAATAGGTTGGGACAGGTATTAATATCAATGCTGTCAAAGCAAAAGGATAGAAAATGTGAATAGTTTCTAAAAAACCACTTTTTTAAAAAACAATTTCCTCTATTTGTTTTTTCCCCTGTTCTTTACACAATAAAGATTTCTGGCGAAGAAATCTTAGCTATACACATGAGATTTTTTCTATTTGTTACTGCAGAGATTAAACGAAATGCTCAAGGCAATGACTGAGAAAAGCTATGCCTTCTCAACTATTTTTCTAATAACTAACTTCTGAAAAAAGAGAATGCTCTTTGTGGCCAAAATGTCACATGCTGAGAACTTTCAACAGCTTTAAATGGTTCCTTTCAAAACTCAATATGACCACTGCAGAATATTATACAGATTCCCAAATGATAGCCATATTTCATAAACACTGTAAGAAATTTGATGGCTGGAACCTCAAATGACGTTTCAAATCATCTGTTCAAATAAGGGAGAGAAATGCAGACTGACATACATTAGATATCCTTACACGTTTAGCTAAATATTAGTTTCAGAAACAGACTGTGTCAGGATATTATTAAGTAACAATAATGCACAAATAGCTACTAATAAAAATATTTTTGATAAAATAGGCAGAATTTATTTATATTGCATACGTCTAACTCCAGCATTAGAAATAAGTGACTGTGATACAGCACACATCACAGAAAATCATTTTAATTCTGAGAGTTGTGAGTCTTTTTTGTTCAGTCTCACAGCAATAATGACATTCTGCAGGAAGCTTGTTTAAAGACACTAAAAAGTGATGTGACCCCTGCAAGTCTGAAGGCCAGACAGATATAGACTAAGTAAAATAAATCATGATTTTTCCAGCCTCTGCCCTTATTTGGTGTTTTTGAATAAACTATTTATCACAAGGATGAGGCAAACATATTGAAGAAAAATAGAGGGACAGGAGATTAAATGAGAAAACAATTCAGAGATAAGTTAAAGCTGATAGAGGATGCTTCTATTTATAGTGCATGTTTATGGTCTTCTAGAACATTTACAACCATGATATAGTTAAAAGCTATGCAACTATTTGTAAACTGAAACTTAAGGTTTCAATTATGACTGAAAACTGGTTCAACATGTGCAGCCATGTTTCAACCCCTTGTTAAGTCTTACTTTGTTCTTAGTTGAATAGAAGATGTAAAATTGAATGCAATTACAAGACCAAACCTAATAACATATGTCAGTCTGACCTTGTATGAGTGTTCCAGGTGTCTAAAACTCGTGCTCGTTGTCAATGTAATGTGTAAACTTTTTGAACCAAAGCAAAACCATTGCCATTGCTGCAGGTCCTCTGTAACCTATCAAAGCCTAGTTGACTGCTACTCATACCTATATTTAATGCACAAAAATTAGAGCAAAATAACACAAGATCATAAATTCAACATGCTGGTGTACAAACAGCCACTGCAAGGAATTTAACAGTGACAGAACAGGAAAGCTGTGCTCTATGTGGATCTACTGTGAGCAGTTAAATACCTACAATGAACAAACCAGAAAAGCAAGATACTGTGCAACACTGGCATTTATTATTCAGCTGGCTTAAGTAATCCTCAGATCAGGCAACCTGCACCATGAAGGGCTGAAGTACCCAGCCCCAATGCCATACAGAGAGCCTAGCAATGCTGCCTCCAAACGATGCTTTTTAGTTCTTTTGCAGGAAAAAACAAACAACTGACTCTTTCCTTACCCTCCTTACTAAATACATTAATCTGTATTTCTCAGGATTTCATTAGCAAAACTGAAATATATTCTGCAAAATATTATCTCTACCTTTTACTATTTTTTCCTCCAGGAAAGTGCAATGGCTAATAAAAACAGTGGTACTTTGTAATTCTTAGAAAGTCACTTTGTGAAACCAATTTACATAAATTATTCTGTGACATTTCCATTTCAAGTTCAGCTTTACTACCCCCTGGGAAGATTTCTTCATATTTCTTATATTCAGTGCAGCAAAGAGAGATTACATCATCTGCCACAGGTCACAGAACAAGTCTGTGCCTGGTATTTTGCACCTCTTTTTTGCCATAGTAACCAGAAAACAAGTCAAGGGAAGTAAGATAAGGAAAAGACAATTTTCCTTGCATAAAGTGTAGGCACTTATACTTTTTAGCTGAATATTCATTTTATGTTTATTTTTCTCCCACAGTTATGAAATACACCAAACCTTACCTTATTTCACCCCTACCTTTACAAGAATAATTCGTTTTTTAATTCCTATTTTGCTGTATACCTAAACCTTTTATGGAGGGTATGTAACTAAAATGCTCCATAAATAAGACATCCTATGCACAATAACCATCAACAGGCCAAAAAACTTAATCATGAAAACACAATGTATTAACTACACTCCTAACCTTTTTGCAGATAAAGAACATCTGCTCTGAAGTTCCTAAAGTACCTACAGGGGTCTCTTACAGTTCAGAAGCTGTTCAAAACTACCCACATAATATGCCATTTATAGTATGCTAGAAATGTCTCAAGGTGAGGTCCTACTTTTAATTGGTCATAAAACATCAGGTTTGGTTGATGTACTGCACTGGTTGATGTAAATAATAGTTGATGAGGATTATTTTTGTGGTTTTGGGTTGACAAGCAAAAATAGGGAGTAAAATTACCCCACCAGAAAATATCAGCAGCAAAATTTCCTTCCAATGTCCTCTAAATTAGTCATACTAGAGAAAATATGAACTTACAATTGCCTTTTTTTCTGCATGGTGACTAGTTATTGTTAAAACAGACTTCTGTTAAAAAGCCCCAGGTACCTGGGAAAGATTCCCAACTACCCATGACAAATATTAGTAAGGTTCATGTCTCAAAAATATCTGCTGGAGACCAACAAAATCTTTTTCAGATTGCTTTAGTGATATTACTTTACTATTGATTTTGCAAATTAGAGATATATAACCTCCTTGAAGCAAAGTTATTCATATCTCTCAACCACAACATGTACCTTTTAAGATAAAAGACAGCAAAATTGCATTTCTGCTTTTCTTTACTAGATCTACAATTACTTCTGTGATTAGCAAGCTAGAAATAGGTTATTTCTCCTATACTTAATTTATGCTGGGCTCAGTGAATTTTATTGTAATTAACCTTATACTGATAGGTTAATAATGCAATATACACAGACCCACTACGTCTGGGAAAACAGTACCTGTGAGACGACATCTATCTCCTCCCAGTAAAACATTCTGGCTTCCCAGACCATACTGCAGAAACTAGTTCTGCTGGATCCACCTGCCCCTTCTGAACAAATAGAGAAATGTTTTAAGGCTAATGTGAAAGGCAAATAGTGAACTCTCTTCAGATGTGTTGAATGAATGCATAAACCCTTTAACCATGCCAGAACCTTTACTTTTTAAAATTTATGCAAATGACTGTATTAAGCCCCTCCTGTCGCAATAGTCTTTAAAAAGGTCAAAAGACGAAATAAAAAAAAACCCCATGGGCTAAATAGCTGACAGTGGCAGCAATAAGTTATTCTAGTGTAGGTGATTCACAAATAATGACTACTACATCACGGCAGTGCATTCCAAAGGGCAGCCTCCATGCTTTGGTAAAGAGCCCTGGGCTGAAGGCACAGCACATGGACCGAAGAGCCTGCAGAGCTACCTACCTTCCCCAGAAGACTGTGGGAGGAAACGGGGAAAACCACAATGTTTTCTTTAACTAGCGTAGTGGTCTACATGCTAAATTTCATTTTTACTTAGGGTCCTGGAAAAAAACCAACAATCCAAACAACATCAGAACTATTGCTGCCATAGTCCCATTGCCCTACCTGGCCTTTCTCCTCAAGTTAACACTACCACACAACAAACAAGGCCAACAGCTGAGCCCACCAGCCAAGGTTGCAGTGTTTCTGTGAAAGCGTGTTTAAGAAAAGAAGGAACAACACAGTTAGAAGGGAAGTGTTTGCTCATGGAGCAGTTGTACTCCTGAAGAGACTTCTGCCTGCGGAGGACTCTTGCAGACGACAGGGAGAAAGAGCAGCAGAGACAAACGGCTGTGCGCCGACCTCGGCCTCCTACTGCTTGTCCCTTTGGCGAAGGGGCTGACCGCAACCTTTGCAGATAACCGGGGGGCGAGGAGAGTGCTCTGGAGCAGAAGAGACGAGGTTTGAAACCCGCCCGAAGCGCAGCCTAGCCCGGAAAAGGAGCGGAGGCTGCTCCCCTCAGACGGCCGAACGCCCACCCTCTCCCCGCCGGCGCACGCGCGCAGGGGACGGAGCGCTTTCCCGCTGGCCGCCCCGAGCGGCCCCGCTCCGCGGGGAGAGGGGCGATGCCGAGGGCAAGGGCGGCTCACATTACCTCCACCCACTGGGCCTCGCAGCCGCGCTCGGGCGGCCGCACCTGCAGGCGGGCGGAGAG